ACAATGCTGTTGCTGCTGGACTAAGGCTGGCTCCACTTCAGGTTTATAGGTTTATTGCAATGTCTTAAGATTATGCAGTACCTTTGGTAGGATATAGAGCTTTCTTGTATTTTCATGGATTAGTTTTTTTTTTTTTCTAATTGTTTATTTTGATTAATTAAAGGGCAAAATGTCAAGAACTTGGATAAAGTATAACAAACCCAAGGAACCCAATGTGATTCATGCTGGGCTTCTTCTTGCTTTGGGATTGCATGGATTTCTGCGCGTTTTAATCATTACTGACTTGTACCAGTACTTTTCAGAGGTTTGCTAGTGCAATTTTCCTTCCTCTTATGACTAATTGTTTCTTTTCTTGTATACTCATAACTAAAATAAAATACTAGTTAAAATAGAAAATTAATTAAATCTTGCATTAAGTCTAGCTCTTTGATTTCCTCGTCTCATTGGCCCATGAATCTTCCAAATGCTGTCCACGTTTATTTTATTACTTAAAATTATGCTAAAAGTTTTAGTTCTACTTTGTTTAATCTAATGAAACAGTTATCATATATGACAAATAAAGTCTTGTTTTAGTATGTGGCAATCCTTGTCAGGACTGAAAACCCTGAAAGGAACTAAATGGTGCCAAAAACATTATTACCTAACAGTATTTTTCTGAAAGGAGGAAAACTTAAAAGGGAAATTTGCATCTAAATGTTTTAATTCTACAATGACCTGAAAAAGAGGTCAAAAGGTTTAGTGAAATCAAGGAGCAAAGACTGTAACTGTGTCAAGCATACATCTGCAAAGTGCAAACGTTGTCATTTGCTTCAGAGACTATAACTTAAACAACAGACATGCTCTTCCATCTTTCTGATGCACCTCTGGTCTACTTTCATGATGTTTGCATCTAATAGGAGCATGAAAGCACAACTGTTGGATTAATGCTTGGCCTTGCAGCTTCTTATAGGGGGACGATGCAACCTGCAATATCTAAGGTACCATAAAGCCTCATTTGATCTTTATCTCTTGTGCTATCTTATTGTTTCTTGTTTATAAGCAAATGCATTCAAGTTTTGTGGATAATGTTGATAGTGTTATGTGACTTTTGAAAGTATCTTATTTGATTGTAACTCTATCTTATTTCACCACCTTGACTGATTGTATTGCACCATTTCAGTCTCTTTTTGTACATATTCCTGCTCGTCATCCATCTTCCTATACTGATTTGGAGTTACCAACACTGATACAGGTAAACCATAATGCTCCCATCATTATTGGGCCCTTGCTATAATATCTATGCTTCAGGAATTTTGATCCATATATGTAATTTTTAGATTGTGAAAATTGATAAATGTGACAAGATTTAACTTGCATATGCATCTTTAGCCTGTAGAAAAACATTGTTGTGCGTGCATCTTCGTATGGACATTAAAAAATTATTTTCATTTGTGTGAATATTGACCTTCAAGCAGTTGTGCATGATTATGTTCTTGATTGCCACATTTCTAAACTTCTGCCACTTTCATGGGGATGTGGATTTGTATTCATCTACTAGCCATATATATCAGCCTGTACATTATCACTGTGTTAGTCTGTATTGTTTTTGCAATTAGCAAGGAATTAAGGAAGATTTGGCTGTAATTTCTCTGAATATTGATCACTATATGCTATAGTACACTTACTTTTGTTGACCCTACAGTCTGCAGCACTAATGTCAGTCGGGCTTCTTTTTGAAGGAACAGCACACCCACAAACAATGCAGTTGCTTTTGGTACTGTGTTCTCTTGTTTTTAATTGGCTTAAAATATTGATGTTTCTCTTCTATATATACCATAAGCTTGTGTCATTTTTAGTATTTGTAAAAGGAAAAGGCATATAGTATTATTTGATGATTATGCACTTAAAGCAAAAAAGGAGCCGTCACTTAGATTTTAGGCCTCAAATCTGGTAGGAGTGATCTGGGTTTTGTATAAAACATATACTTATTTTGCACTCAACCCTTTCTAGACTGATTAGTGATTGGTATGTTTATGACTTATTATGTCTTAGAGTTCTGATTGTTACAATTTTGCTGAAACTGCATCTTCAAGATTAATGTATTAGATTTTAGTAAACAAAACTTTTTTGCATTACAAATTCATCAACAGCTCAGTCACCAATTCATGAGCTTTTAATAAAATGCTTATGGTTTATCCTACTTACGTACTTGGTTGCGGGGATCTGACTACTTATTGGCAAGATCAATCATTTAAATTTTTTAGTGGAATACGTAGGTAATTTATACATTAAATAGTAATGTTATAAAATAGAGATAAATATTGCTCTTTGATGTATTCTTACAATAAAATAGAATGGTAATTAGCTCCTCTTTGTTCAATGAATCACACTGCAATTTTGCAATGGCCCTATGTTACTTCTAGACCATTTAATATTTAGCAGATGCATTTAGTTTATCTTACAGATTATTTTTTCAGGATGAAATAGGACGTAGAAGTGGGGGAGATAATGTACTTGAAAGGGAGGGTTATGCTGTTTCTGCAGGGTTCTCATTGGGTCTTGTTGCATTAGGTATGAGCTGCTGAAAAGAACTGTATTATCCATGTAATTATCTTTTCTCTTATCTAACTATTTGTTTAACTCAAGGCCGAGGAGATGATGCCCTGGGATTCATGGACACTCTGGTTGATCGGCTTTTCCACTATATTGGTGGCAAGGAAATTCATAATGTATGCTGTTCGCTTCACAGTTATTTTGTTCTACTTTCTTTTCTTCTTGTTGTATGATTTGAATTGCAATTCAATGCTGTTGTAGCCACACATTCTGTTCAATAAAAATGCACCATCTTGATTATTTCCTCAATTCCCCATCTTGCCTCATCACTGAGGCATAACAGTAAACACAATAGTAGACCATCACTTGCTTTTACTGATGGCTACAGGAAGGAGTTAGATTTCAATGTGTGTTTGTGTTCCTTAATTTCTGTAAATTTTCTAACGTGTCACTCTTTGTTATATTCATTGTCAGGAAAGATCCCTCCCACCAATACCATCCATGGATGAACACAACCGTGGTGCTGGACAGGTTGTTTGAGCTACCTTTGACTTATCGTCCTGAAATTCTTAATTTTGCATCTGAAATAGATGGTATATACACAATCCCTGTTTTTCTCTAAGCCAACTGACATTTGCTGCTATGTGGCAGATGATGGATGGAACCAAGGTCAATATTGATGTCACCGCACCTGGAGCTATAATTGCACTTGCTTTGATGTTTATGAAGGTAATTTCTTGTAAAGATTCTAACATGGAAAAATACAAATTTTCTGAAAATGTTCCTTAGGTTTTGGTCTTCATAGGTCCTGCATTGGGATTCACCTGTTTTCTCTTTTATTTCTAACAGAGCGAATCTGAGATGATAGTGTCTAGGCTTACAATTCCTCAAACAAATTTTGAATTGCAATATGTGAGGCCTGATTTCATATTGCTTCGAGTCATTGCTCGAAATTTGATAATGTGGAGCAGGTACTCCATCTCTCTTATTAATTAGGACAATTGAACAAATAAGTATTTGTCATGCACACTTTTAAATGAGTTGATAAGCTTCTTTGTTTTAGGATCCATCCCACCAAAGATTGGATTGAGTCCCAAATTCCTGATGTTGTCAAAAATGGTCTCAAAGGACTTAGAGATGATAGTATTGACATTGATGAAATGGATGCAGAAGCCTATGTGCAGGCATATGTCAATATGGTGGCGGGGGCATGTTTATCTCTTGGTATGTAATTTCTGATGGTTCATGTAGTATTTTTTTTTTTTTTTTTTTTTTTTTTTTTTTTGTGTTTTGCATAATTTTTGTTAAGTCATTGCATCTTTTCTTGTTTTAAATTTTTTTTTTATTTTTTGTTTTTGTCCTGATGGAATGTAGTTGAAATACAGCTTGTCTAGTAAAACTTTGTGCATTACTTAAAAGAACATGGTAATAAAGTAATGATGCAATCAATGAAAACTCTTAGATATATATGAAAATTTTAACTTTGTAATTAATTATTTCAAATCTAAAGAAAGTTCAAATAAGCCTTTCTAGTGCAGACTTGATTTGCATTAATAGACAGTTATCTTAAAATGGTTAGCCATCAAATACTGGAGGAAATCATACATTCATACTTGATTTTATGCATGAAAGAAACAATTATTAATGGATGTTTCTGAATAAGCTGCTATTTTGGCCAATAAATAAAAAATAAAATAAAATAAAATAAAATAACAAAATGAGCTGCTATCTGCAGCTCTGCAGCATTGCAAGTTAGGGTGCAAAGTGAATAAATTTTGGAAATAATATTCTGTTCTTGATAAATCTCAAGGAGCTTTTGTGGCAAATTGCTGGGTTTATGAATTAATTGTGGGTTCCAAGTGTGCAATAAGGGGAAGCTAACAGATTCAAGGTTTTTCTGAGAAGGAAGCTAGAGTGGAAATCTATGTTTGGGAGTTTGGAGTTCAACTTTCCATGATCATTTGCAACTTGGACCCTAGCATTCTATTTGAGAAGTCTATTACTTCCATCAGCATTCTGAAGTTTTATCTGCTGAATTTCACTGCAGAAAACCAACTAGGTTGTTAAGTATTAACTTGGTTTTATTTTCCAAAAATTGAAAACTATTTATCCCTATAGTTGATTTGTATAAGCTTAAAAAGGCTCTGAATATTAATTTAGGTTCAAGTTCTTTTGCGAGACACTGATAGCTAATGGAATATGTTAGTACTTTGTATCTCTTAAATGTCCTGAATTTGGGTTCATAATTAGTTGTTTAATATGACTGTCTCTAAGTTCTAGTATTACTAGTTATACAATTGGGCTTGATAGTTTTTTGTTGATATTTATGATAACAGCTCTCTTGCATTGTGGTCATCCTGGAGAATGCTGTGCAAGCTACACTTTATTATCCTACCACATTCTGTTTCTTTTACTAACAATATTTTTTTAAAAGCTTAAATCCATTGTGATTAATTTTTGGCAGGGTTGAGATTTGCTGGTTCAAAGGATGGGAATGCACAGGAGCTACTTTATGAATATGCTGTCTATTTCCTTAATGAGGTCAACATACAAACTGGTACTGCTAAATCTCTATGTGTATTTGTTGTTTATTAATAGTAACTTATTTTTTATTGTGTCTGCAGATCAAGCCTGTTTCTGCTTTACGTGGAAATACTTTTCCAAGAGGACTATCCCAGTATGTTGATAGGGGCACTTTAGAGATATGCCTTCACCTAATTGTTCTTTCTCTTTCTGTGGTAAATAAAGTTGGTTATTTGATTTTTTTTTTTTTTTTGAGCAAAATATGGGCTATGTCAAAGGCCCAAGAATCTCAATGAATCCAAAACACAAACTATATATCTGCACAAACCCAATCCCAGATTTTCAATTCTATTTTAAAATTAAAATAAATAAATAAATAATCTTCGACCCTAACTCTCAAATCACACAGAACCCTGGAAAACCAAAGATGGCAGCGGCGGAAGAGAAGTTGATTCTTTACCGGCGGGATGGCAATCGAGAGGAGACAGTATTTCACTGGTGGAGCAGGTCTTGTTCGCCGTCCGTCACACATGATGAACCTGAACTCTCTGAATATTTTGGTGTAGGAGGAGCCGGAAGCAGAGACGTTTAGATGCGGTAACGATCAAGTGGGTCTTTGAGGGGAAGGCGTTGGTGATAAACCCTCCATGCATAGTCCTCCAAGGGAAATGAATTGAACATTTTCTTCTGTGTGTTCCCATTAATTTGATCATCATCTTCTTCTTCCTCCACATTTTCCTTAGGAAGAAGAGGAGAGATCCTACAGTCCTTACGCAGCGTCACCTGTAGAGACATTGATATGCACCGGCTGGATTTGCTTTCTACTTCCCCCAAACATGCCACTGGTCTTCCTCTCACTTTCTTCAGCTTCCCATTGCTCCAGACCTATCATTTTTTTTTTGTTCATAACAACCATAAATTTGAGAAAAACCCATCATCCATCCGATGTAAAAATACAAAAAAATTAGTCTCTCCATTCAATGAAATATTGAATCGTATCAAATGTAAAGCCTTGATTGGTGTAACCGGTATGGAACATTAAGAATAACTAATAACAACTATCAAATCATCAAATCATATATGAAGTAGTTGTCTTTCATTAATAATTATAATTATAAAATGTCTTGTCTAAGGAAAACAAATTGTACATTTATTTTTTTAATAAAATAATATTATTTTTCTTAGCAGGTAAACCAATCAGATTGTACTCTAATTTTCTTATGGAGTATAATTATAATTAAAGTGTTAGACACATGCGTGCTATTCTCATATATATTACTTGAGCTTAGCTAAAAGATTTAGGGAAGAAACGGTATGCAATAAGAGCTTGAGTTAGGGAAGGAACAGTAATGCAATAAGCTTTTTTTTTTTTTTTTTTTGATGAAAGGTAATTTTTGGA